CCCCCCCCCCCAGCTTTGGCTTTGTGTATCAGAGCCTAATGTTACAGTAGCAGAAAGAAGACAGTGAGCAGCTGTGCATGAATATGAATTCACTAATTCACATAACTAATTTGCATTTCACATTCGAAGCCTTAGTTTTAAAGTTTGCAAACACGAATCACATTTACTGATAAATTTCAGACATATTAGGCATTTTGTCCATGATTCCTCCCCAGGATTGCAACTCTGATATAAATGTAACACAAAACTAATCACAGTAGCAGGACAGCACCACACAGGACAGAACAAATGTGCAGACACACAATGCAGAGAGAATGTGTATATATGTATAAGTTGTATAAGAGGCTAGGGTTCGGTGTGTTTACAACTATTAAAAAAATGGATGAAAAGCAAAGTGATATTTAGAGCAATTTAAGTTTAAAAATGTTGGCAATGCCTTACAATTTAACTTCAGTTAATTAAGTGGTTGAGGATTTGCCAAGGACAGCCATTTAATTGGGCTATTCATGTTATACGGCCAGCAGCATAAGTTTGTGGAGGAGACGGCATGCTACCATCTATGTGCTAGTTTTACCTAAATGTCAAAGCCCTTTTCTCTGGAAACATCCGTCTTTATGACCTGTGCGGACACATTTTTACTGTACGGCCTATTTATGTTAACGATTAATATCCAACCGCGTATATACATGATAAAATTGAAAAAAAAAAGTACAGGGGGAGATTCCTGCTAGAGGGAATTGCATTTATCAAAATTATACTGGCAAATGTTTTCTGCATTAAAACATAAAATTGTTTGGATTACAACATGTTCACACTGTATGAGGGACTCGCAGCTGGTGGGCAATGCATGCATACATTACAGCATTCTGACACATTCGTGTTCATGCAAAAATATGTCATGTGCATTGTTCCAGTGTTTATTGTAGCGTACATCAAAACCATATAAATGGAAGAAGAAATTTCAAAGGATATACATCCAAATACAAATCTCAGAACCAATGCTGTAGCTTTGCTGTTCACTTGCTTACTAATGGATGGCGTGTTTAAGCGTATTATTAAATAATTAGCATTTATCTGCTAGTATGACAGAATGCAATTAAAGCTATTTAATAATTACGAGATCATTTGTGACAGAAAACAAAAGGTTTAATTAAAAAACATGAATTAAATCAGGCCTGAATGATATAACATCACAGAGCAGATCAGACCAAAAAATGGGTTGGATTTGTGACAGGAACTGTTGCACTGTCCTTCTGTTTCAGCTTGACCTGCTGCGATGTCAGTGGACTGGTTACGCGCTACTAGTGCCAGACCCTTGATCTGTTGTGCCTCAGGCAGACAGAGCTGCAGAGTAAAACAAATACAAGAAGGCCTCACTAGAGGCAAGTGGGTTTCTTTCTCTCTCACCCACAATTAGTTGTGACAGATCTTTTTGTTTTAAATCAACTTAAATATTTATCAATCAGTGTTTTATGCCAACGCTGGAGTTTTCATTTTTCATACATATAGTTTT